TAGCTGTAGCTTTGTTCTTCCTTCAGGGGAGGTGCACCCGACACAATCCTCCATGTCCATCACAAACAGGAGTGAGGCAAGCCAGCGCAAGGTAAGAGCTGTAGGGATTGGGTGTGGGAAGAGGGGGGAGGAGGGAACAAATTACACCACAAACAGGAGGGGGAAAATAATATCAAGGATGGGATGTGGACAGAACAGCAAAGATGGAGTTACCACATCTTCTGGGATGTGCACAAACTTTACTGAGATCTGTTGTCTGGGGTGTGACCCTTGTCCTGCCCCTCCTGATCCCAGCCTGCCTGCTCTCTGCACAGGGTGGTGGTGGAGGATGGAACAGGTGAAGCTGTGGTGCTGTGCAGGAATGAACATGTGGCAACAATGCTGGGCCTGAGCCTTCTTGAGTGGGAAGCTGTGCAGAACTGTGTGCAGAGCAGGGGCAGCGTGTTCATTCAGCACGGAGAAGCTCCAGGAACAGGGGTGAGTGGGTTATTCCAGCAGCAATTGAAGCCTGATGAGCTCAAGTCTTGGCTGGACAGGATTTCCCTTTGGTCTGGCTGTTCCAGAGCCTCCCTGCCTCCCACTGAATACTCCCTGGCAACACACTCTTTCCTTCCTCAGTGTCTGGAGGAGCCTGAGGATGTTGTTGCTTGTTACCTAAGGAGTCTGTGCAAAAGTCCTCTCATATGTCGTCCTATCCTGTTGGATTTCAGCATAGACAGGAAGCCCTCCAAGATCCTGCAGCCTGGTAAGCAAATACTGCTGGCTTTTCTAATATTTAGTGTGGGAAGGAAGGGAGGAGGGCATCTCACCAGGCTGGGGAAGGAAAGGTGCCTTCACTGTCCATCAAAGCAAGATCTTTGAAGGATTTTCCTGGAATTTTGTATTATATAGTGTAGAACTAAGTTGTGTCTTAGATTAACGGTTATAAAAATAGAGAAATAATATTATGGAAATTCCTAAAACAACATAGGATAATTTTTTCTACTTCACACAGAAACATAAAACTGTTTTTGAGAAAGATCCTAGTCCTCCTAGACAGGAGTTTGATCAGCCAGAGTTACTGTGCAGACCTCTCAAATCAAATGGGTTTTGACATTAGATAGGACAGCATGTAGAGTCAATAGCACACCTGAAAATCCTCACCTGTAAATCAGCACTGAAGTGTTTTGAATTCATGAGTGCTGAGGTCTGAGCTCGTGCTGCCACAACTGTGCAGTTGCTGTATTAAGGGGACATTCTTCACGCCAGTTCTTCACACTGCACACACATATAGCTTAAGCTTGAGTGTAGGTGCTGCAGGGGTTGATTTGCTAAGCTCACCAGAGGATGCTCTGCAGTGGAGACTTTCTGGCTGTCATGTACAGTCTGTAAAGACAGGTTGCTGGTACTGGTAGAGGATACAAAGCTCAGTGCATCAGCTCTGTGAGCACGTAGTTCACAGCATTTCACAGTGTAGAATGTCTGTTTCCTGCAGGCTGGAGGGATGCTGGCAAAAGGCATTCCTCTGCCTACAACCTGGAGTCCTTCATCATGCTGTCCTTTGAGGTTTAGCAGATGCTAAGCAGCTGCTGCAAGGCCTTCCCTCCCCCAGCAGCTTGTGCAGCTATGGGCTAGAGCAGAGCCAGAGCCCTGTACTGAGTTGTTACCCCTTGTATCCTTCCCCTGCAGCTCCCCTGCAGCTGCGGAATTTTCGCTGTGGTGAAGTGGAGTTTGTGTCACGAGTGGGGCCTCGTCTGACCCTGCTGTGCCTGAAGGTGGAGGAAGTGGGACGAGATGCCTTACACTATCTGAACAGCCAGAGGATGAGCAGGACATCCAGTTCCTGCTGAGTGGGAGCCACTGCTTAATACTCTCCCAGTGGGAAAAGAATTACGGAAATACCTACTGCAGTTGGGAACTTTTTACTCTCCTTTCAGTGGGAACACAAGCCTGTGAGCACAGGGTGAAGCGTGCAGTCGAGCAGCTGCTGTGACTGTGGAATTCCTGAATGGTCACTGTGGGCCATTGTCAACCAGTGACACTGGGCTACATTTTGGAAGAGAGATGTTCAGTGCTTCCTATGTGATAGCTCTTGCCTTGGGCCTAGGGCACATAGTGTGTGCATTTTGTGTGGTAGTATCTACTAAATAAAGCTATGAAAATATTACTTAAAGAACACTGCATCTGTTTTAGTATCTATTTTAGTATTCAGGTTTACTTGCTATATGGTGACCATTAACAAAATTATACAATTTTCACAGGGTATGGTCTTCTTAACCTAATTGAAATTATTAAAATTAGACTTTTAAAGCACCTCCTTCAAGAAAAGAAGTGAGTAAGCTGCTGTTTAGAGACTAAATCATGGGGCTAAATGACAAGATTATTTGGGCATTGTTTTGCAGTTTATCAGAAGCAGCATGAACATTAGGTGGGGCTGTTAAGAAGAGCCAGGCACTGAGCTGTGATACAGGCAGTGAGATTATTGAGCATGAGTGAAGTATCTTCCCTCTCAAGGCCTGCTGTCCACTTCTGAGACCAAAGTGTGAGTGGCAGAAGACCCAATAGATGCCACCATTCAGGAACATTGTGAGACTCCATCCTAAAAAGTTGCCAAAATAGCTTAAAGCAAAAGTCTTTGCAAATGTTGCTGTGACAGCCTTACTTTCTTTGGGTGCTTTCTGCAGAACAGAAAAGATTTTACTAAAGCTTCTCTCCACCTTCCAGAAAGAAAACAAAACAAAACCAAAAAAGCCCCAAAATAAACTATCTCAGCCTGAGGAAAATGTTGACAGTAAGTGGTAAGACAAAGATAAAATCTGGTTAAAAAGTGCAACTGAAAGTAGTCCTGTAATACAAGTAACACAGTAGCAGACAGAAATAGATAGGAAGTACCTGATAACACTTATTTAAAAAACAAAAAGGGAAAATTCAGCTCTATTGTTTTATCCGAGTTTAATAACTGTTTCTGAATTTGAAGCTTCCAGTAACATCTTACTAGTCTCCTTTCCCTCATCACGCTGTATGTTAGTTTTCTGTCTGCTGTCTGCTTATCTGTTCCTCTTTTATTTTGCATTACAACTGCAATCATCACTCCTCATACAGGACTTTAGATGTGGTTTATCTTTGCCAGGATATTCCAAGCCTGCTGGCAGTTTTCCAGCCCATCACTGTTCTGCCATTCACATCTTTTTCAGCAGGTGAGTTTGATTTTAGCATTCCAACAAGATGAAGGAGATTAACTGCCTCTCTTATTTACAGTTTTATTAGTACAGTCAGAGAATCACAAGACAAAAGATGGGTGAATCAAATCTGTTTGGGAGGATTTAAGATTTTCTTGCTTTTAGTACTCTGAAGGAGCTGTTCTCAGCTGTATTGCGGGAAACCCTTTTCCTGTTTGTGTCTGAACTCCTGCCCATGATCAGAGTTCTGGTCACTGTGTTAGATAAGAAAAGGGAATATATCTTGTCCTACAATCAGAAATTTTCCTTTATGCAATTCTCCTTATCACATTCCTTGTTCTCTTTGTGAAGCTAAACAAAGTATCCTGTTGTTGGTGTGGGTAAGAAATAATAACACAGGAAAAATCAGCTAATTTCAAGTTTATACTACAGTGTACTCTGGAACCAGCAGGAGCTCCTAAAGCCTCAGCCCATAGGGAGGAAAGCCTGAAGTGAGTTCTGCCATCAATGTAGCTGTAATACGTGTTCTGTGTGGAAAGACAGGCAGGTTTCTTTTAGCTGATCTCCTTTAGCTCACCCTTTCACCAGTTCACCTCCAGGTCCTACCACCCAAAGCCAAAGCCAACAAATATTAAGGCAGCTGTCCTGTGCTTTGGCTGTGTAAGCCCTCATTATTCCAGGTCTGCAGGGAATTGCTCAGGCTGGCAGCTCCCTCTAGCCATGTTCAAGGTGTCTGTAGTATTTATTGGAGACACCACACTGTACTGTGGAGTTGTGTGAGTAAAGTAGGAGCAAGGAAGGGTTGTACTGTAGCAGGTCTTGTGAGCAGGGAGGGAGAGGAAAAAGCCTGTGCTGCCTTGCAGCCATGAACTGCAGCCCAGGTCCAGAGGGTGCACAGGAAAGAAAATGAGGAGACAAGTAAGAGCTGACAGTTGATGGTGCAAGAGGATGATCTGCAAGTGGTTGCAGAAAGTGATGGGAGAAGCCTGTAAGAGGAACAAACCATGTGTCCCACCTAAAGGTGGGGATGGGGAAAGGATGAGCAGAGGGAAAAGACACACACTCCCATTCTGGCAGACTTGAGATAGGTCTGCTGCTGTAGCCAAATTCCCTAAGAGGGCCTCCATATATTGTATGTATATAAGTTTCACTTTCCAAGCTTACCTGCACGTCCAGCAGAGTTTCCAATTGCTTTATAGATGTTTTATATTGACAGCAGGTACAAGGGAAGCAGAAGCATCCAGTGACAGGCTGGAAAGGAGGATGACACTGACTCTGCATTAAGGTGCACCAGCTGCAAGTTGGTCACCTTTGTAGTGCTGAAATCTGTAGCAAAAGAATTGTGAGAGGCTACCGGAATAGGAATGCAGCAGGAAAGGCAAAAAAAAAAAAAGTGTATTTATTCCTTCCCATTTTTCTGAATATGGATGAAGATTGACCCTGCTTCTTGTACTGCAGACCAATTGCAATGAAGTCCTGGCTATAGAAGCGTTATGGCCCTTCTCATGTAGAACAGATGATACTTAGAACCTTTGTAAAGATTGATTTTCTGTGAGTAAAATGGCCTTTTTAATAAAAGGATTGGGCTGGAGTCAGAGGTATTGTCATCAATAACTGCTAAAGGGGCCTATTGGTTTGGTACACAAATGGGATCTAAGATGAACTGGCTAAAGAAAATGTCAAAAGATGTGGGGCTTTGTTGGCTGGTTTGGTTTTGGTTAACATTCCAAGCAATACACTCCTTTGAAGTGTGTCTCTCTGGTCCCCTGTCCCCAAGCCAAGGCGACAGTCAATACCATGAGAAGCATATGAGATAGCAGGAGCAAACACAGACCCTTTCATTCATCCCAGGGACAGAGAACTGGTTGGATTAGCCATGCTTTCAGTCTTTTCCTTGCCTGACACAGCTGCTGCAGGAACCCCCTGGTGCACCAGGAACACTACTGAAACTCTCCTCTCCCCCGTGCCTATGGTCTCGGGGTGCTGCTGAACCCTACCTGTCACTCTGATATTGACCATAGCCTTGGCAATGCTGTTTTCAACCACGCAGATGTAGGTGGCATTGGCAGTGATGTTGTGCAGGAGGGAAACCACCTTCACAGTGGTGTTTTCGGGGTTCAGCTCGTAGCTGGTGTTGGCAGCATGGGGCAGGTGCTCCCCAGTGTCACCGTAGGCTGTCCAGCGCATGGCAGGGCGAGGGAACCAGTGTGGGGCTTCGCACTGCAGCGTGTCCCCACGGCTGCTCTTCTCCACCTGCACCACGGGGATGCTGAAGGCTGTGGGAGGGAAAACAGGGAGAGAGTCAAAACAAGGCAAGTGATAGGAACTGGACATGAAATACCCAATTGTATCTACCAATCACAGGTACTTCTAGGCTGCTTGCTGCTTAGCAGCACAGCACTGCCTGGAGCCAAGCCAAAACCAGGCTCAGACAGAGCTCTATACAGGCTGGGCTGTGGGAGTATCACTACAAAGGATCTAAGGACTCCTAGGAAATAACAGTCCAGCTTGACAGGATCTGAGGTCATGACACAGCTTTACTGTCTTTTAGCTATTCTTAATAATGGAGGAAAGATGATTTACCCTCTCCACTCACTAAGAAGGAGGCCTAACCAGCACCTACAGCTTCACAGAGTTGCAGAATCATTAAGGTTGGAAGAGACCTCTAAGATCAAGTCCAACTGTTAACCTAGCATTAAGTCCACCACTGTACCATAACCATAAATGCATGTGTTTTAAATCTCTAGGGATAGTAGGTGACTCCATTACTTCCCTGGGCAGCCTGTTGCAGGGCTTGATAACCCTTTCCATGAGCAAATTTTTCTTAATATTAAATCTAAACTTCACCTAGTGCAACTTGAGGCCATTTTCTCTCTTGAGCAATCTCCTGCAGACCTGGAATAAGGAGGGCTTACACAGCCAAAGCACAGGACAGCTACCTTTAGTATTCATCATCTTTGGCTGTGGGTGGTAGGACCTAGAAGTGAACCGATGTAAGGATGAGCTAAAGTAAATCAGCTAAAAGGAGTATGTCTGTCTTTCCACACAGAGCAGGTATCAGAGCTGTGTTGAAAATAAAACACCTTAAGCATTTCACAAATACTTTCTAATGCCTTTTCTGTGTGGATTATGTGTGGATTACTCTAAACATCCAATCAAGCAACACAAAAGTAGGCAGAGCCACGAGGTTTCAAGGAGTGATGGGGGACAAAGGCCTCATGGAACATTTGCAACCCACAGGCTTGAGACAAAACCCTCTTTCACTTGGAGAGGTCTGAGGGCTTTTCCTCACCCAATTTGAGCTGTAGGACAGCAATCTTGGCCACAGGGATGAGAGGGAGGGTGCGAAGACTGCAGTCTGGAGGAGACCCTCAAGGGGTTCATCCATCAGTCTCAACATGAGGTGCCTGCTTGGGAGGAGACTTCTTATTACAGCTAAATTCATCTCACTGGAAGAGGCTGAAGACCTGGTGGTTTTCAGACCTCTCCTGGAGGACCGACTCTTGTAAATATGTAATGTTTCAGGTAACTATGATATCAGAGGTTTGTTGCTTTGGTAGTAATTTTAAAAAACTTAATACTTCAGAAAAACTGAGAAAAATATATTAAATACACTGCCATTTTTATTATGCAACACTTCTGGCTGGAGATACATCCTAATTCTAGAGAGAAAAAGCTACCATGTTATCAAGATTATAACCTTTTCTGGAAAAGGGATGTCAAAAGAGGGGTTAAGGCCATAAATATCCCTGCCAAAGCCAGAAATATATCCTACTCAGGGGTGTAGCAGCATCATAAGCACAGGTAGGTTCAACCAAGCCCCACTAGCATGTGTTTTGCAGCAGGATTTTGCTCCTTATAACCCTCACCTCCTGTCCTGTACTGCAGCACTGCTGCTCCACTCCCTCTGGCTGTGGTGACAGAGCACTGGTAGGTGCCAGCATCAGAGAGCTGCACATCCCTCAGCTCCAGGGAAGCATTCCCGCCAATCACCTGGTCCGCAAACACGGCTGTGCGGCCCTGAAATGACGGGTCTTGCTCTTGCAGGTGGTCCTTCCCAGCCTTAAACTCGTGAACCAGCCCAGCTACCCCCTCCTTGGCCCACTGGATTGCTATGCTGTCCATCCGGATGTCGGGCTGGAAAGAGCAGCCCAGGATGCTGCGCTGGCCAATGTTCCCTGGAGACGTCAGTGCCGTCACACTGATGGAGTGCTTTCCTGCAAGGAGAGAGCAAGGAGGCTGAGAAGGGTGAGGCAGCAAGCCTGGAGAAAGGCCAGACTGCCCTGTGGCTGTCATGGACCAAGCCTGAGGCTCAACAGTCACTGGCACACAGCAAGGCCTCCAGTAGCAGCTAGCAGTGCTGCTAGGAAAGGTCAGCTCCAGTGGGTTGTATGCCATGATAAAGCACAGGAGTATTTCTGTAGCAAAAGAGTGCTTCAAAAAGTAGCTCTTCTTACTTGTTTGAGAGGAGTTCATGTGATATTTTCTTGCTTACTTATATACATCAGGAATTTTTCCCTTTGCAGCTGCCAGAAAAGTGTGATTTTTATGTCTTTTCTTAGTCAGGACCTCCCTTTATGCAATATAAATGTAATTGGAAGGCATAATGCTGTCAGAGAAATAGCAGCTCTTTCCCCCTTACTGAAATCTTTTTCTTTCATTTAAGAAATATTTTTCTTTCATTTAAGAAAAGTGAGCATCTGAAATCCTAAGCTGCGAGCCTGAGAATTCCCAGAGACAGGCTCTCTTCCCCATGCAGCCCTTCCCTACCCATCCTCACTCAGCACATTCCAAGGAAGTGGCATGTTGGCTAACACCAAAGCAACACATTTTTGTTTTCTCTGAGGGACGTGGGAAGGGTGCCCCATCCTGGCAGATGCTCTCTAATTTCACAATAAACACCATCCCATCATCTCGTCCTGTTCTGGGAGAATGAGCAGAGTATGAGCAGGACTTTATGTGTAGGTTTGGAGCACCAAGCCCAAGGAAATTTCAGCTGACACATCACTACACCTCCAGCAGCACAGGCTGCACTACACCTACCTAGCCTTTGTTAAAGGGTGGTGGGTGGCACTTCCACACTTGATCACACCTCAGTCTGTGCACAGGATGGACACACAGAGGCAGAGGCAGGGCAGAAGTTCATTATCCTACCAGTAACTGTAAGAAATCCGAGCTGTCACATACCTGAGACACCAAAACCAATGATCAGGACGATCACTGCAGCCAGGATGACAATGACTGTAGTCATGCTATTAGGGAAAAAGGAAAGGACAGCATTAGTGCAGAGCCCACCTCCTTCACAGCCCATGCCCATACCCTCCACCTGCAGAGCTGTCTGCAGGAAGTGGAAGCAGGTGAGACACAGACCCAGAATGAGGCATGGATGAAGCACATGACCACAGTAGTGATGAACATTCAGGTGAGCAGCCCTTGTCATCAGCAGTGGGGGACCATGTGGCAGGAGACCCAGGCTTTGCTTTTGAGAGCAGGCAGCTGGGCCAAGTGCAGGATGCTTCTCTCTGCATTCCCTGGTCCATGTCAGGCAGTCCCTGCTGGTGCTTGTGAGTGACCAGGGAGTGAGCAAAGCCCCTGAGCCCAGGAGACACCAGGTACAAGGCAGGGAATGTGCAGGAGGGGTCTGGAAACAGGTCCATTTTTTTGAGCTGGTTGGATTTGGGATGCTCCATGTGGGGATGGGTTGAATGAGAGACTGAAGAGGAGAGGACCATTTGCCAAGCCACACATGAGAAGCAGCTATGCCAGAGGAGAAGAAAGGCAGCATGCCATGGATCAGCACAGCTCCAGCCTTGCCAAGCCCAGCCTCTCTGGCACAGCCCAACTTGGACAGACTCAGAAGCACAGCTGGCTATGGACTCCCAGCACAGCCAGTGGAGCTGTCATGTGGTCACAGGCACATTTTCCTGTGGACTCAGGGGCTGTGGCAGCAAATTCAGCTCCCAACCAGAGCAAGCCCTGAAGCATCTCCCCACAAAACCCACAGGTACATCCCAGGGCTCGTGCCCAGCAGTCTCACAGAGACTCCTCACAGAGGAGAAGTCCAGAGAGGGCAGGCTGTGAGAGGTCACAGCCTTTCTGCCCACAAAAACCAGCTGCTCTGCTTCAGCAGCATTTACTGGTTTGCAGCACACTTTGCCAACACAAAGCTGATGGGCAGCCTCCTGCAGGACAGTCCATCAGTATCCCTACAGCCATGGACTCCTCCCACCAGTGATGTGTGTCTGTATCTGTGACCTGCTCAATTTCCACAGATGCCGCGGTCACACAGCTGATACGGAACTCCAGAGAATCGTACCATGTGAACAAGCCTCCTGCAGGGAACAGCAGGGAAGAGAGAAAGCAAAGGTGGGTTGAAAGAGAGAGTAGAGAAAAAGGGAGATGTTGCAGGCTTGTTTGACCTTCCTGCATCCCTGTCTTCTTGCATCCTCATCCTTAAAGCCAGTGGGAAGTTGTCTCAGGAAGCCCTGTTTGCACATGCTCAGAAGGGATCAGAACTCTATTTCACCAGAATATGTTGTGTCCTCAGATAAGGGTTCACACATAAATCCATTTACACATTCACATCCATACCAAGCTCTATCTAGATGCCCTCAGAGATGGGAGATGTCACGTTTGGCTTCTTCCCTGTTGTCACAAGCTTTCAGTCATGGCTGGGATGAACAGCAGTTCCCCACCTAATTCCTCATGGTGGCTCACAGCTGACCCTACCAGGAGAAAAGCCATGGATATCATCCAGCCATAGGCACCAGGCAGCTGGGAACCCAGGCACTGCTTCTCCCAGGGGCCTGTGGGATAGGGACTTTGATGGCTCCTGTGGTCCTGCATCATGACAGCTTTCAGCAAAGCCTTGCCAGGTCCCATGGGGCTCAATCCCGAGTCACTTAAGGTCTCAGCCAGGCTCACCATGGGACAGCCTGTGCTTTCCTGTTCTGGGGAAGATGCCAAGTCTTTCATGTACGCTGAATAACATCCATCTTCTTGAGGAGCTCTACCAATTTTCACTCTGGGAATTGATTCCAGAGCAAGATAGCTGCTATAAACTCAGCCAAGGTTGTCATGACAAGCCTCAGCTCTCACACCTGGGAAGCACAAAGCAAGCAGCAGCCACACAGTGCTGACACACAACAGTTGTGACTCATCTTTATCCCTATATCTTACAATCCCTCTTCCCAAGGACAGGCAGGGAAGAAATTGCTCAGATTCAAGGAATGCTGCCAGAGAGTTAAAGTAAATGCTAGGAGATATGGCAGTGGGACAAGCAGTCAGGATGTCCTCCTGTGCAGTCCCTGAATGCTTCAAGTACCACCACACTTGCCTCTGGTCCTTGAAAGGACCCTCTGGCAAAGGACCCTCCTTGAAAGGACTCATCTGTCCAAAGCCATCCTCATCTTGCTCACAGACAAACACAAATAAGCACAAACAGGCCACAGCAATGCTTTTGTTCTGTGCAGGTGCCACCAGCCCCCATGGCTGCAAAGCATTGCTCACTTTGCACCCAGAGAGTGGCTACCCACCTTGCTCCAGAGTACCAGCAGGGCTGATTGAAGAAACTGCTCATCTGTCACAGGAGGAATGGCAATTTTGGCTATACAGATGCCACTGCTCACTTCAACATCCCTTGTGAGGCACAAGGAGAAATCAGTCCCTTTGGAGTTCCCTCTGCAGAAACTGCAAGGTCCAGGAATCACAAGATCCTTACAAACATTTGCTGTGTGCCCACCGTGTGTAACGAGTAGATCTGGTGTGCAGAGTGAACAAGAGGAACCTGGCATCCTAGCCACGTGCTGCTGGTAGCTGTGTCTTGCAGCAGTCCAATTCAAGCACTTCAAGGAAAAAGCAATTTTCTGTGCATCAGCACCCCTGGTACCTCCAGTGTTTAAAAGGAATAGAAACAGGCTTATATGGGTGGCTGAGGCTGCACCAGTTGGAGCCCTGACACCACCCTCAGTTCCCAGTGCCTATTTGGCAGCCTGTGGGATGCTGCTCTGTGCCTCCTACCCTATTTTCCATAGTCTTGTTCCTCATCAGCCAAACTTAGAATCAGACTGGAATCAAATCTGGCGTTAAATGAATCCATTCATTCCCTGCCTGAATGCTGCTGATCACAGCCCAGGCACAGGGAGAAGCTCACAGCCTGGCTGTGATAGGAAACAGTCCTAATTCTCCAGATCTCTAGCTCCACTTGGACTAAGCTTTCCCTCAGAAATGGGCTTAGAGGGTCAAACGAACTGGGAGATTAGGATATTGAGGGTCCCTTGCCTTACTTTTAATAGCAAAGTTTATTGTGGGAAAGAAATGGCAGTGGTAACCCAAAACAAAAGGGTTTCTATTCCAATATGCAGCTGATGATTGCAGAAGCCAACTTTCTTCAGCACTTCAGGGGGTTTTGTTGTTGTTGATTTTGTTGGGGGTTTTTTGTTTTAGTTTGTTTCCTTGGTTGATTTTGTTTTTTTCCTGAAATCAGCAGAAATCTCCCACTGCTTCTCTGAAACTTCCTGGAAAATTCACCTCTCTCTGGTCTGTTCCTGCATTTCAGGATTAGCCTGAAGAGCAAACGCCCCTGAAGGAAGCCTGCTTCTCCCAGTAAACTGCTGCTGCCTGGCAGAGGCACTGGCAGAGCAGGAGGAAGGTTTCCAGAGCATTTTTTCACACTCATCAATTATTTCATTTCCTTGACAAAGGCTGGCTGGGCTGCCTCTTGAGAAAAACAGAGCTGATTACTGTGTGCATTCCAGACACATGAGGAGTACAGTGTCCAGGGAATATTTACACTCTGACATTGTGTCTACAGGCAACATCACTTCTGTCAGTGAAAAGGTGCAGATAATATTGCTGTTTAGCTCTTCCTTGAAGCTCCATGTGGCAGGGCTCATGTGTGAGGTCTCTTCTGTTCATAGGTGGCCCGTCCTTCTCCCCACTGCTCTTCCACTCCAGTGGGATAGATACTGGTAACAGCTGAAATCTTTTTCACAGAATAAATGTCAGCAGGACTGTCTTACACACCACTGGAACCTTTGTCACCATTCAGTCTGGAAAGTCCACACCTGGGATGGAAAGACAAGCTTGTTGCTGTCTGTTCAAGCAGTAAGGTTTAGATGAAAGCTCAGTCCACATTCACTAAAGGACAAAAAAATTGCCCTTTTATCCATCTGGTGGGGTTAATTTTCAACTAATCAGGAGATAAGGATACGAGGTAGATATTTTCATGACTTCTTTTTCCAACTGTAGTTCACCAGCACTCAGTCAATAGCACCAAAGGAAATGGGGTAATTGAAATGAGAGGCAGAAAACACTTGGAGAATGTCCTCCCAGCTGTTACTCCTGCACACAAACTTCTTGAGGACAGTTTCTTTCTCCCCACAGCAAGCTGATGTGATGGAAACACAGGCAACTGTCTGAGCACCAAGAGAAGAGGGGTGCCTTCCTCAAGCCATTGAACCCCCAAAATACAACAGCAGGAATACACTCTTCCTCAAGCATTGCTACCCCAATCTACCACAGCATTCAAGCCTGGGATAGCAACTTTTAGCAAATGCAGAGTTGTAGGACATGCATCTCCATCTTGACTACAGCTGATGACTGCACATGGGTGTCTGATACATACACGGCCTTACAAGTTGTATAAAACAAGCTGTACTGGTATTTAAGTAGCTTGAGTGAGTGCAGTACAGTCAAGCTGCAAAGAACTGTTCTCTTGAGAGCTCCTGGAAGCAGGGTGACATATCCTAAGAGTCTGAAAAATGCAATTCCCTC